GATTTCTTTAAAAACTAAGGTTAGAGGTCCCTTCTGACCCAGCTGTTCCCCTGCTGGGTATCTTCCCAGAAGAATTAAAAACATCACACTAAAGTGACATATGTGCCCCCATATTTCTGGGAGCAAAATTTGTAATAGCTAAATCTTGGAAGCAACCCAAATACCTGTAAACCAATGAAGTAAATCAGACTCACATGTGTAAATATCGTATTGGCTCACTAGTGTGAGAATCTGAAAGAGTAAACAAGATCCAAAATACACAATAGATATTGTGAATAGGGAGGAAATTTCAAAAGAAAAGAAAAACTATGGTGAGAGAAAGGTAAAAGGAAGGCAAAAGGCCAAAAAGTATACATATACACCCGGAACAATTAAAATAGCTATACTGATGGTTTCTCTTGGTTCATTGAGGGGAAAATTTTGTGTTAGTAATTTTCTGGACAATGTTTCATGCCCATATCTTGTACTTTGAACAACTACTGAGAATATAATAATGTGTAACATGTGGATTATTGTTACTCTCCTACTAACCTGCTTTGAAACTCTGTTTTATTGTCATTTTTTACTTTTATCTGTTCAAAATAAAAACAAAAACAAAAGAACTGCTTTAAGGGTTTTGCGTTCACAGTCATATTCTAGGCAGTCTCAATGCTGGTTTCCATTTAATGCCCACCTATACTCATTTTTTTATTCTATGGGTTACTCTTTCATGTTTCTTTACATGTTTAATAACTCATAACTGTTGGTGGTAAATATTCCAGATGGTTTTATCCCTTTGTAAAAATGGTTGATTTTGGTTGTAGGTTGTAACTCATGTACTATCAGATTGTATGAGGTTGTTTAGGCTTGGTTTTATGATTTTTTGTTTTGTTTTGTTTTTTTGTTTTTTTCTCCGGTACCGGGAACCAAACTCACGACCTTGCGCTTGCCAGGCAGGCGCTTTTGCCGCTGAGCTAAATCCCCAGCCCCGGTTTTATGATTTGACTGGGCCAATACATAGTATTTTCCAAGACATTCTAACTTGGAGATGCTTAAAATCTGTCTTCACCATGGACTCTTACAGAGCTTGCTCTTAGACTTTTTAAGGGTAGTTAGGGTAGTTCTAAAACAAGCTTTATTTTAGGTAATGGTCTTTACTGTTAAGGTCTATTGCTTCTGGTCCTTCAGTTGGGTACTTGTGGTCCTAAAATTCTGTGTTTTCTTGCAAGATTCAGAGACTTAAAAGTCTCCAATTTGGGGCACTTCTTGACGTCTAACCTCTATATTCCATTCTCAGCAATCTGGTGAATCTATTTCTTTTGCAGGGGGCAGAGCTAGGTTCTTTATTTTAGTTTATGTTATTTTCCATTTTGATATTTCTATTAATACATATTTTTAGTACATAATAGTTGCAGACTTTGTGGGGAGTTATTACATGTATATAACTCATCTTTTTTTTGTTTGTTTGTTTGTTTGTTTTTTGAGACAGAGTCTTTCTATGTGGTTCAGGCTGGCCTTGAACACATGGCAATCATCCCTCAGCCTCCCAAGTGCTGGGATTACAGATGTGTACCACTATCCCTGGCGTAGCTCATCTTATTTCTCTTTTTAACTGTCTTCCTTTCTCCTTATCTCCCCTCCCTCCATCTTTTGATCTCCTTCCCTTTTACAAAAATCTAGTTCCCTATGTCCCTAGATTTATTATATAAGGGAAGTCAT